GTCACCAAATTACCACTTGAGATCCATCCTTAGTACTGGTCACCAACACACTGCAGATCCATCCCTAGCACTGGTCACCAACACACCATGAGAGATCCATCCTAGCACTGGTCACCAACACACTGAGTAGATCCATCCTCTAGCACGGTCACTAACACACTGAGTAGATCCATCCTAGCACTGGTCACCAACACACTGAGTAGGATCTGTTCTTAGCACTGGTCACCAACACACACTGTGTAGATCTATCCTTAGCACTGGTCAACAACACACTGAGTAGATCCATCTCTAGCACTGGTCACCAACACACTGCGTAGATCCATCTCAGTACTGGTCACAACACACTGAGTAGATCCATCCTAGCACTGGTCACCAACACACTGGAGTAGGATCCATCCTAGCACTGGTCACCAACACACTGAGTAGATCCACTCTAGCACTGGTCACCACCACACTGAGCAGATCCATCCTAGCACTGGTCACCAACATACTGAGTAGATCCATCCTTAGCACTGTCACCAACACACTGAGTAGATCCATCCTTAGCACTGGTCACCAACACACTGAGTAGATCCATCCTTAGCACTGGTCACCAACACACTGAGTAGATCCATCCTTAGTACTGGTCACCAACACACTGAGTAGATCCATCTCTAGCACTGGTCACTAACACACTGAGTAGATCCATCTCAGCACTGGTCACCAACACACTGCGTAGATCCATCCTAGCACTGGTCACCAACACACTGAGTAGATCCATCTCTAGCACTGGTCACCAACACACTGAGGCAGATCCATCCTTAGCACTGGTCACCAACACACTGAGTAGATCCATCTCAGCACTGGTCACCAACACACTGAGTAGATCCATCCTAGCACTGGTCACCAACACACTGAGTAGATCCATCCTAGCACTGGTCACCAACACACTGAGTAGATCCATCCTTAGCACTGGTCACACACTGAGTAGATCCATTCTTAGCACTGGTCACCACCACACTGAGTAGTCCATCCTAGCACTGGTCACAACACACTGAGTAGATCCATCTCAGCACTGGTCACCAACACACTGAGTAGATCCATCCTAGCACTGGTCACCAACACACTGAGTAGATCCATCCTTAGCACCGGGTCACCAACACACTGAGTAGATCCCATCCCAGCACTGGTCACCAACACACACTGAGAGATCCATCCCAGCACTGGTCACCAACACACTGGGCGAGATCCATCCCAAAGCACTGGTCACCAAATACACTGAGTAGATCCATCCTTAGCACTGGTCACCAACACACTGAGCAGATCCATCCCAGCACTGGTCACCAACACACTGAGTAGATCCATCCTAGCACTGGTCACCAACACACTGAGTAGTTCCATCCTTAGCACTGGTCATCACCAACACACTGAGTAGATCCATCTCTAATTGGTCAACAACACACTGAGTAGATCCATCTCATACACTGGTCACCAACACACTGAGTAGATCCATCCTTAGCACTGGTCACCAACACACTGAGATGAGTACATCATAAGCTCAGGGACGAAAGTTAACAGAACACACAGCAAACATCCAGCATCAGGATATATAGTCTGTGAGCGGAACACCAGATGGCAGTACTGTATAATGGTGGTGGTGGTAGTAATGCTGGTAGAAGTGGTGGTGGTGGTGGTAGTAATGCTGGTGGAGGTCGTAGTGGTAGTGGTGGTGGTAGTAATGCTGGTAGAAGTGGTGGTGGTAGTAATGCTGGTAGAAGTGGTGGTGGTGGTGGTAGTACTGCTGGTAGAAGTGGTGTGGTGGTGGTGGTAGTAGTAATGCTGGTAGAAGTGGTGGTGGTGGTGGTGGTATAAACATCTACTCTGCCGATTAAGTCCAAGTGAGTGAACAAGTTGAACATACTGTTCATTAATATGTGGAACTAAGAGAAGTATACTCCAGCAATATTGGTCTTGGAGTAAACAACTGGTCCCGGACAAGTGAAGGTGTATTTGTGTGTCTCCTACGGTGGTAACAAGGTGACTGCTGCCTCACCACTCACGGCTCGTCCATAAACCAATAACTTGAATCACTAAACAAAATAGCATCGGTTTATAACAAAGAGCCGATACAACGACACAGTTCTTTAACCACATCGAGCCAAATCTACAACTAATTGAAAATAATAAATAAATATGAATGTAACAACTTATAAACATTCCAATGACTCATTCCATTGTTTTAACACAGTATAGATTAATGATAATAATAATAATAATAATAATAATAGTAATAATAATAATAACAATAATAATAATAATAATAATATCTCACTTTCAATTTTTCTTTATATTGTAAAGTAAAAATTCCACTACTGGATATGTTGTTATATATTTATCTTATTTATGCTTTACTTTGTAAGTATCTTTTTCCTTCACTTGCTAAGGTTCAGGACTGTCTGGTCTGTGTCCACGCAATTCTCTTGTGAAGTTCATTTGTATATCGTTCCAGCTCTCCCTTCACGTCCGATCTATGTGTTGTTGACCTGTATGTAAACAAACACAGTTTACATTATTGCAGATGTGAGTTATTGATACATCTGTACAGTGGGTGAAGGCTATCACGTGACGAAGACTTGGCTCACGAGATATCAAAGGAAGGTACTGTAACATGTGACGAATGCTTGCTTCACAGGATATCAAATTTAGTTATCCTGTGGCGGAGGCTTATTCCAAAGGCTATCAGAGTGAATTATCCTGCGTGAGGTCACTAGCAAAAGTTGATACATACAGTATATCAGGCACAGCGCAGCGACTCGGCCAGCACTTCATCCAATTAGTGTCAAGCTGCTTGCGCTCTTGTCCAATGAGCTTTCATCGCTGGACCAGAGCAGCATACACATTCGACGATTAATTAGTGTTTTCTCCTGCTGTAGTGGTCGGCCAAGAGAGAGAGAGGAAGAGAGAGGGAGAGAGATTTTCAGTTTGAGGGTGATTATGTTGACTGCGGTGAATGTGTATGTAAATCCTTATGTAGATTCTGAGGTAAATACCGTAATTTCTGGTGTAGATTCTGAGGTAGAAGTGAAGTTAACACGTAAATAAAACAAAGGGTCACAGTACATTATTTATTTTGTACAGTTCAGAATTAGACAAATAAAATCACTTACATTCACAAATACTGTAGGAAGAAGCTACAGTCAAAAGTATTTTTTTTTAATGTACAATCATGAAATGCTGTCACTAATCTCACCAAGAAAAAAATATAAAGTGCATATAAGGCAGTGCAGTTCAAGGCTATACACCGAACACCTGCAGTCCAAGGCGTCCAGCTTCTACAGATCCACAAGCGGTCTACACAAGCCAGGTTCTATTTATTCACTCCAAAGGAATATTTACATCTAGTTGCTAAGGTGGAAAAAACTGTTACACATTATAAATAATAATTTACAAACACCTGATCTGTGGAGGTTTACTATTATGAAGAAATGGATCCATTGAAGGAATTTTCTGAACCTCAATTGGAAATTTGGGAGTAACAAATTTTTGGCACATAATTACGAGTGATACTTACCTGTATGCTGAACTTGTTCATTGTTTACACCAAAGAAAAAAAATGTCTATCTCATGAAAATACAATTTAACAAGATATTAAATAATTCTACACCCCTTATATGAAGCAATTTATCGACCCCTTCGAAGCGTAGCCACTAAGTGATATCTTCCTGTCTGTCCTTGACAATAACTAGCCTGGAGAGAGAGAGAGAGAGAGAGAGAGAGAGAGAGAGAGAGAGAGCACACTTTCACCTCCAGTCTTCACCACTGAGAGGGGAGGGAGCCGTGCAGGGTTTACGTTAATAAATGACCAGTTTTGAGCATTTAAGATCATGAAACATTAAGTAGCTCTACCAAGCAGTCAGTCTATGCGACCAATGTTGTCCAGTCCAGGAAAGAGCACACCAACTACCGAACTACACCACAATGGCACTTAAGGTTTTATATATATTTATATATTTATGTATTTATTTATTTGCTCATCTTTAATAGGTCTTATAATTGAATGCACTTGTTCACTACTCACAACTGCGTGCTTTTTAGATTACTGTGAAACCATACAAAATATCTGAAGCCAAAAAGCATTACTAAAGATGGCTAAATTTACTCTCAATCACCGAAAACATCTACTACTCCAATTGTTTTCGCTATTTCACTTCAACAGACACTAAATTTAAAACTACTAATACAGGTCTGAAGTATTAATCGATGAAATAATTATACTTTTCATTAATTGATATACAATGTATATTATACATCTTTGCCTGAACATATTGAGAGGGTAGCATCAAGTTCACTCGGCACAGCATAACACGACCTTATGTTACACAAAATAATAATTCACTGGACGCCAGCATTGACGTCCGTTCCCTGACTATAATATATCACAGATTAATCACAGACCTCACAGAGAGTAGTTTGTGGTCAACAAATGTTTGTGTTTGACTCATAAAAGAGTTTAGTCTTTACCGAGACTTTGCTATGCATGGGACACGTCTTCCAGACACACACACACACACACACACTGCACAAAAATTTTCAGGTCAGGAGGAACAAATAGGTACTGTTGAGCCAGGGTCATGAAGACGTCTCCTGGAGAGTTTTGGACATGGGCGCCATATGGTAAGAGAGACATCTTTTGGGAGGATCCTCCTGCGAGTGATCCAATCCTGGGAATACATTTTGTAGCTGAAGGAACGTTCACGTTTTGTGTGAGGTGTGCACGTTGGCTTACGTTAGGCTGCTGGAGATGAAGCCTTGGTTGTCACATTTAAGGAGGTGGAGATTCCCCAGAGGGACATACAACACACTAGTTCCTTGAACTCGAATGTCCAGTCGTGGTTTACATCCTGCAGGAACATGAAGATCTCCTAGATGGGTGAAGACCATCTCAATCTAGGTAGCCAAGACTTTATTCCTGGTTTTATGGTACAACAAAAATAAGTCCCTCTTGAAAGACATACAAAACCTCACTCTAGGTAATCAAGCGCATAACCCAAGTTTTTTCGCTGCAGGAACAAGTGGATCTCCCAGAAGGGAGGTCGCTGGCGGTCGTTGGGTCTCCAGCAGGCAGTCATCATGTCGTACATCTCGCGAGGACAGAGCGGCGGATGAGGCAACACCATCATACCGGAGCCATCACCATGGTAACAGTGAGACACGTTCTCCAGCACGCCGTCGTCACTCAGCTCGTCGTAGGGCTGCTGGCGGGCCATCGTCAGGATCTCCCACAGCGTCACGCCGAACGCCCACACGTCACTCTTGGTGGAAAACCGACCCTGAAGGATAGACTCCCACGCCATCCAGCGAACTGGCAACATGGTGTGGTCTTCCTTCAGCTGGTAGTAGTCTCTATGGTACTTCGTTTGGCTCATGCCCAAGTCCGAGACTTTAATAAGAAGGTTTCTGCCTACAAGGCAGTTACGAGTCGCAAGATCCCGATGGACCACATTGAGTTTTTCCAGGTGTTTCATCCCAGAGGCGACCTGTGAGGCAATGTAAACAAGAGCGCCATAACTGAGAAGAGGGTTGTCACCTCCCTCTTTGAAAGCTGCTCTTTGTACTATCGCCGAGGTGTTTTCAGGGCCGTGTCTTCGTAAAAACTGATGAAGATCTCCATATTCGAGGTATTCCTGAAGTACAGAGGTTCAGAATGGGTAGTCATACCTACCAGTCGTGCAATGTTTGGGTCATCAATACAACTTAGCACCTGAGCTTCTTGTAGGAAGTCTTCCTTAACACTGTCGTCAACTCTGGCACTGAGGCTCTTCACTACCAGTGTCTGAAGTTCACCTCGAGAACCATTCTTAACCTCACAGAGTTGGACAGTGCCAAACGTGCCTTCACCTATAGTCTCTAACACACGAAGGCTATGTCGCCCGATTTCAGGAATTGACTGAACATTACTCAGCTCAGAGTCATCGGTAAGGGCATAGATGACACTTCCTGTAACACCCTGGATGTTGACCGCCTGACACACCTGAGAAGCAGTGAAGTAGTGTTGCACAGGAGGTGGCGGGATCGGCGGCGTCGGTGGGGGAAGATTGGAGTGTTCTGTGTGATTGTCTTTGTGAGCGGTGGTCGGGTTAGTGGAACAGGTGGAGGTGGTGAGTGAACATCGGAGAACGGCGGGGGAGGCGTTACGTTCATCCCAGGTACAGCATAGTCCACGGAGTCATCAGTATCCAGAGGCAGAGGACACTTGAAGGTCGTGTCTGAGGGCGGGATGGCTGGACCCAGGGTATGATAACCAGGATTGTGTATAGGACCCTTGTAAGGCTCCTGGTACATAGCGGCACCTTCCTCGTCCATGGCAACGTGACCATAAAGATTCCCTTTAGCTCGGGAGTAACTATTTGATAACTGAGAGAGATTCATGTTGATATGCAAATCCTTCATCTTCATTGACACCTTCCTGCTATCAACACCATTTTCCTGGGAGAGAGAAGTTTTACTGGTCTTCTTGGTCAGCCTCAGTCGGTAATACAGGATACAGAGCCACTGGCACCACCCCAAACACAACACCCAAGGTCACGAGTCCTCCTACTAAGAATCCTGAAGAAGTAGAGTGCGCAGGAACCACCGGTACCGCCTTCTCCTCCACCTCCGTCGGTATGGGCGGCGGAGGCTCCCCAGTCATGTTACACCGACAAGGTTCTGTAAGTGAAAGATAGAAGGCGGTGCTTAAGGCAAACAAAATTAGCATAATAGTCAAATATTAATAATTGAGGAAGTAATACAACACGAAGATGAAGTGACAACAAACGTAACGGTAGGAACAGAAGCAGTAACAGTAACAAGGCAGTAACAATAAAAGAAACAGTAACAGAAGTAGTAACAATAACAAGCAGTAAAAAAACAAACAATAAGAGAAGCAGTAACAGTAACAGAAGTAGTAACAGAAGTAGTAACAGAAACAGTAACAGTAACAGAAGTAGTAACAGTAAATAGTAAGTAAAATAGAAACAGTAACAGTAACAGAAGTGGAATATAAACAGTAACAGTAACAGAAGTAGTAACAGAAACAGTAACAGTAACAGAAGTAGTAACAGAACAGTAACAGTAACAGAAGTAGTCAGAAACAGTAACAGAAGTAGTAACAGAAGCAATAAAGGTAATAGAAGCAGTAACAGTAACAGAAGTAGTAACAGTACGAGAAGTAGTAACAGAAACAGTAACAGTAACAGAAGTAGTAACAGAAACAGTAACAGTAACAGAAGTAGTAACAGAAACAGTAATGAAGTAGTAACAGAAGCAATAAAGGTAATAGAAGCAACAGTAACAAGTAACAGTGGCAAGTAGTAACAGAAGCAGTAACAGTAACAAGTAGTAACAGAAACAGTAAAGTAACAGAAGTAGTAGAGAAACAGTAACAAGTAGTAACAAAGCAATAAAGGTAATAGAAGCAGTAACAGTAACAGAGTGGTGGATAGAGTGAAGTGTGAGAGCAGTGGCGGTGAACGGTGATGACAGATCGGTGGCAGTGAGACGGAGTGGTGGCAGGTGAATGGTAACGGTGAAAGCAGGTGGTGGCAGAACGGTGAGCAGGTGAGTGACAAGGCAGTAAAGGGTGTGGAGAGCGGTGACGATTGACAGGTGGTGAGCAGTGTGGGGTGAGTGAGCGGAGCGGTGGCGGTGGCGGGTGGTGACGGGAGCGGTGGCGATGACAGGTGGTGTGGGGCGGTTGGCAGGTGGTGGCAGAACGGTGGCTGGAGGTGGTGACGGGCTGATGGGATTGATGGGGAAGGGTGGCGGTGGCAGGTGGTGGTTGTGGGTGGTGGGGGGGTGGGCGGTGAAGCAGGTGGTGACGGAAGGTGACGGTGACAGGTGATGTGTGAGAATGGTGACGGGTGGTGGCAGGGCTGTAGGGTGGTGGGAGGTGGCGGTGACAGGTGGTGACGGTGTGGGTGGTGACAGGGGCAGTGGCGGTGAGCAGGTGGTAAGCAGAGCAGGTAACCGGTGCGGTGGTAACAGTGAAGCAGTGACAAGGTAGTGGCAAGAACGGTATGAGGTAGTAAAGCAAGAGCCAATAAAATTAAATAGGCGGTAACGGTAACAGAGTGAAATTAAAACGGTGACAGAGTGGTGTGAGAGCAGTGAACGGTAGGTGGTAAACAGGGGCAGGTGGCAGGTGGTGGCAGAGCAGTGAAACAGGTGGTGACGGAGCGATAAAGGGAATTGATGGGGAGCGGTGGTGGTGACAGGTAGTGAGCAGTGGTGGGCGTCAACGGTGACAAGGTATTGACAGTGAAGCAGAGTGGTAACGGTGAGCAGTGAAACGGTGACAGTGGTAACAGTGACAGTGACAGGTGGTGGCAGAGCAGTGGCAGGTGATGACAGAATGACAAAATTGATAGAGCCGGTAACGGTGACGAGAGTAGTAAACGGTGACAGAGTGGTAACCAGAGAACGATGACAGTAACCGAAAGTGGTAACGAAACGAGTAACAGTAACAGAGTGATGGCAGAGAACCCAGTAACAAGAGTAGTAACAAGAAACAGTAAAAAATTAATGAAACAGTAACAGTAACAAGTAGTAACAGTAATAAAGAAGCAGTAACAGTAACAAGTAGTAACAGTAACAAGTAGTAACAGTAACAGTAACAGTAACAAGTAGTTAACGGTAACGGTAAACAGGTAGTAACGGAAACAATGACAGGTAGTAACAGGGAAGCAATAAAGAATTAGTAAAGCCGGTAACGATGACCAGGTAGTAACGATGACAGGTAGTAACAAACGGTAAACGGTAACAGAGTGGTAACAGAGCAGTAACAGTGACGAGTGATAACAGAAACGGTGACAGAGTGGTAACAGAGCAGTAAGAATTAATGCAGGCGATGACATTCGGCAGAGTGGTAACGAAATTGATAGAAGTGGTAACAGAGTGATGGCAGTGACAAGGTGGTGACAAGAACGGTAACGATGACAGGTGATGACAGGAAACGATGACAGAGTGGTAACCCAGAGCAATGGCAAATTATTAGAAGCATTAACGGTGACAGAGTGATGTGATAGAAGTAGTAACAGAAACATTAACAGTAAACAAGTGATAGCAAACAGTAACAGTAACAGAAGTAAGTAACAGAAACAGTGACAGAAGTAGTAACAGAAGCAATAAAAAGGTAATAAAGCGATAACAGTAACAAGTAGTAACAGTAATAAGTAGTAACAAGAAACAATAACAATGTAAATAATAACAAAACATTAACAGTAACAGAGTAGTAACGGTAACGATAAGCAGGTGGTAACAGAGCAGTGACAGGTGATGACAGAACAATGAGGGTGATAGAGTGATGACAGTGACAGGTGAAGTGGCAGTGACAGGTGATGAGGCAGAGTGAGCAAGTGACAAAGTGGTGAAAGCTTGATGTGGAAGCGGTAACGGTGACAGGAGGTGAGTGGCAGTGGCAGAGTGTTAACGGTGACGGTGAAAACGGTGAAAACAGTGACAGGTGGTAACGGTAACGGTGACAAGGTGGTGAAGCAGAACGGTGACAGAGTGGTGACCAGGAAAATGATAAAGAAGATTGATAAGAGCGGTGGCAGTGACAGTGGTAACGGTGACAGGTAATGGCAAGAACGGTAACAGTGAACAGGTAGTGTAGAGAGCAGTAACAGTGAAACAAGAGTGGTAGCAAGGCAGTGAAACAGAGAGTGGTAACCAGAGCAATAAAGAAATTGAAATGAAGCGGTAACGGTAACGGAAGAAGTAACAGTAATGAGAGTAGTAACAGGAAACGGTAACGATAGCTGAAGTAGTAGCAGAAACAGTGGCAGTAAACAAGTAGTAACAGAAACAGTAACAAGTAGTAACAGAAACAATAAAAGGTAAATGAGAGAGCAGTAACGGTAACGAAACAGTAACAGTGAAAACGGAAGTGGTAACAGAGCAATGAGGTAATGGGGGCGGTAACAGTGTAGGGGGAACGGTAACGGTGAAACAGGTGACGGGAGCCAGTAAAGATCAATGGGGGCGGTAACGGTGTGGGGGAACGGTGGCAGTGACAGGTGATGACAGAGCAGTGGCTGCGGTAAGCAAGGTGAGTGAAGCAGAGCCAGTGATCAACAGAAGGTGATGACAAGAATGATAAAGAGATTAAATGGGGAAGGCAGTGAAGCGGTGAACGGAGTGAGTGACGGTGAAGGTGATGACAGGAACGGTGACAGTGACAGAGTGATGGCAGTGAACGGTGACAGGTGAGTGACAGAGCAGTGACAAGAGTGGTAAGGAGAGCCAATACGAGGGTAATGAGGTGATGGTGACGAAGTGGTAAGCAGTAAACAGAGTGGTAGCAGAAACGGTAACAGTGACGGAAGTGGTAACAGAACAGTGAAAACAGTGAAACAGAGTGAAGTAAGCAGAAACAGTAACAGAGTAGTAACAAACAATAAAGATAATAAAATGATAACAGTAACAGAGTAGTAACGGTGATAGAGTGGTAACAGAACAGAACGATGAAGCAGGTAAGTGAAGCAGAACGGTAACGGTAACAGAGTGGTGAAGCAAGAACGGTGGCAGGAGGTAATGATGACAGAGGCAATAAAGATGAGCGGTAACGGTGAGCAGAGCAGTCGCTGTGAAACATGGAGTGAAGTGTGGGTAATGGGGGTGGGAAGCGATGACGGTGACCAGAGCGGTAACGGTGACGGAAGGTGGTGACAGGAGCTGATAGGGTGATGGGTGATGACGGTGGCTGGGGAGTCAGCAGTGAACAGAACAATTAGCAGAGCAGTCAGCAAGTGACAGAGTGGTGACAGAGCAGTGAGCAATTGACGGAAGTACAGTGAAAGCAGAGTGGTAACGGTAACAGAGCAATGCAAGATGAAATAGGAAACTGATGTGAAGTGACAGAGTGGTAACGGTAGCAGAGTGGTAACAGGAGCAGTCAACGGTAACAGAGTAATAACAGAGCAGTAACAGTGGAAGCGATAACCAAAACAACCAATGCGTGACGCTTC